TGCGGTGAAAATAAAGCGAAATATAGGAGAAACCAACAGAACAACATAGATGCCATTAAATGTCACTTGTGTCGTTCTGTCGATAAACAAGAGTATGAGTTGTCACACGCCTTCCAGACCTCGATATTCCATAATTTGAACTCATGTAATTTGCGAAATGGACATGCCGCTCACATAATTTGAAAGATACTCTCATTGCTTGGACAACATGAAAAATGAGAACAACACTAGTGATGTTACTGTTATGAAAACAGCACAAGTGTCGTTACTTATGTAAACACGATACGAATAATTGATAACTTGTATATTTAAAAATAAATTGTTACTAGATCAATGATATTTAATATCTAAACATCATTTCTATATTTTTTAGGTAAAATACTCGAAATGGTACCGTGATATTTTGTTATAACAAAAAATAAATATCTATCATTATGACTTCATCGATTCAAGTATATATTAAAATAATATGAAAATAGTTACAATATTTAAATTATCAAAGTAACCACAATATATTATCAATAAGAGACAGATCATAACAGATAATGGTTGTACTGTCACTTTACATGGAGGATAACGACTGTAGTGTCGTTCTACACTACAGATAACGACTGGACTGTCGTTTCCAATCGTTATCGTCCAATAGTTGCGGACGATACAAATATACACCAAATGAGAAAATAAAATCAATTAAAATATCATTTTATACTATATTAAACAATAAAAGTACCAATGTAAATGAGATTTCTAAAAATACCTTTCTTTTTTCTTTAAATATAGTGGAAATCTCAATGTAGATAATATAGATAATAAAATTCTTGTTCAAATACTCACAATGTTGGAGAAGATAGAAGAAAAATACAATGAATATCAAGATTTTAGGGAAGAAATCACAGGGAAAACAGGTTAATGCATTTTGTAGATGAATTGAGGGATTTAATTAGATTGAAAGGGGTATTTGGGTATTTTCCATGATGAGGGTATTTTAGATATTTGACATTATTTGTTTATTGTATTTTATAAATGAAGGTCATTTGACCAAGAAACATTGAAGGAAGGTTATTTTATCAAAATCATTGTTTGACTAGGCTTTTTTATCAAATCCCCCTTTAAATTTTGGTTCAACTATTTCGTCATAGTTGTTTTTCCTTTTAACAGACACATCATTTAAGTGCGACATACCGGGTTACATAAATCAAGTTACCATTTATTTACTAAAACCAAGTGAGTTAACAAAGTTTTGACCTGATTCAACTTTGGTTGTCAAATGAGTCACTGGTATTGGTTTGACTGGTCTTGATATGTCAGGTTTTTTAGGGGTATATCTGTGTTGGGAAACAACGGGGAGGTAAGTATGGCACGATATGAAGTATTGGTCGCACAAGTAAGAACAAAATTGAAAACAAGAAGAAAGATTGGTAGAGGAACCGAGTAACTTTATTATTGATAACTAATGGAAAGAAAAAGACAATATTAGCAATTTCTGAAATTTTTAACTAAATTGAATGTAGAGTCTACTATATATAGGAGACGTTCCAAACCCTAGAAACTAAGTTGAAGATGAATAGGAATCCAAAATGCATTAAAACGCAAAAAGTCGGAATACATCATCGCTCAAGCAGAGCGACAGGGGGACGAAAAGAGGGAGAAAATTCACAGTCCATAATTTTGATCTATCCATGACCGCTTCATCTAGGACTCCAATGCCCACTAGAATTTGGGTCATATTCAACAACCTAGAGTAAGATTTAAACTCTCAGCTAGAAAAAGGGATGATAAGGGATGATACTAACAAAATAAAAACTGTTAGTAATATACTGTAAATTGAAACAGTGGCAAAATAATTAAGATAATTAAGATTTTCCGTTGTTGTATACAGTGGTGGAGCCAGCACCCAGCGAGCCACGACAGCAGCCCGTGCTGGATCCTCTTTAGCTCAGATGAATTCGTAGATCCGCCACTAGTATTCCTCAATTCCAAACTCCCTATCTCGTGCTCAATCATCTAGCACCTTTGGTGATTGTTAAGGGGATTCTGATTGTGTTGACAATAGCAGAAGCTGCCAATCCCAATGGAAGGGACAACAAAATGAATAAAACACCAAGCAGAAGCATGTTTGTCATCAACATTAAGCTGACATATAGGCCAAAAATGTGACCTTTGTTGTACTATACATGCCAAAATTAACCAAGTATGCATGTCCGCAATAACAAGTATTTTATTATGAGATCTCTATCCTCAGGGCCATTTAGTTAGGGTTCTACTTGCTGTACACTCTTTTATACAGTAAGTTGTACACCCCTCTCACATAAGTGGGAGTCCCACGAAAAACATAGGGCCCCCTCATGTGAGAGGAGTGTAAGCTTGTACAGCAAAAATTATTGTACAAGTAGATTTACTCATTTAGCTAAGTTGAGAAGTCCTATGCTAAGCTTCCACATGTAATTCTAACTGAAATTATTTTCAACTTCAGCTGCTTCTCATGGCCGGTGCTCTATTGTACACTAGTCTCTTCTAGTGCATATTGTCCTAACATTATGTCTACATAAAGGATCTTAGATGTACAAGTGTAAGTTTCCTCTAAAACATAATTCTAATCACACAAAGTACTTTTAAAAAATTATTCAAATATGTTCAAAAATTACCTTCTTAATTTCAAAAATAAATTATAACCTATGTTGCACAAATACGGACATGTTTGTCCGGCACGACACGTGTCAGGTACGAGGACACTTGATTTTTTTTAAAAAATTGACCCGATATGTCGTTGACACATTGATTAAATTATTTAAAAATTTTCATCTATATAGTATAAATTTACTTTTATACTCAATATTAATTTCACTTGTTGATATATTTTAAATATGAGTATATATTTATAATTTATTAATAATTTTGAGTTAAAAATATATAATATTTCAAAGAAAAATAATCATGGTAGGGTGTCTGAGAATTGTCGGTATTCGACACGTGTTGGACACAAATACGGACACGCTACCCTAATTGAAATGTCCGTGTTACAGTGCTTTTAACTTTCAAAAGTGCCGACGGGCCCTTCTTCTTCATTATAATAAAAACGTGCAAGGACAGATAAAAGTAACTCTCACACTTTTGAGTCACTATAAATCTATATTTTATGATTAAATTTAGCTTTTGTAAGTAAGAAATATGGCTTAATCAATAATATCTAGCTTTAAGGTAAAATAAGAATTGGCACGAGCCCTCTCAATAACGGCAACTTGGTCCTAGTCGAACTCAGGCACATTGTCCCAACTGATAATTGTTAAAATTTTAAGTACTAGGGAGTTAGCTTGCCAAATTATGTTCGCGGCCAATGTATTAATACCACATCATATTGATCGGAACAATCGATCAAAGAAGAAAAGAGCAATGGGTTGTATCTTTCTCGATTTACTCTCTCGTAACAAAGTTTGACATTCGCCACATAAGTGTGGGTGTATTATATGCCCTGACTTAGCTTATTTCTTTAAATTCCTTTGTGGTATTTAATTTCTGAAAATCTCTCATAGGAGTTATGAAAAATTGTAAGCTTGGTCATTTGTTCATCGAGCTTGATACTCATTTGTCTCGGTGTATCTCCACCTCAAGAGACGCTATATATATTTATATTTTATGAAAATATTCACTGATTTTAAAATTTGGATTAAATGGAGTCCTAAGTAACTCTACCAGGCATTATTTGGTAAATGGAAATTGACTTAAGTAATAAAATATAAAATTTGTATGTTTGGAGATAATACTGAATTGGATCGAACTTTAATAATATTTTAATTTTCTTTCTTCTTAAATATTGTTCGTATTATTCAATTCCAGATATTTTTATTTCTCGCATTTGCAGATAAAGATTTCATTTATCAACTCAAATATGAGTGCTTGCTCAAGTGCAACTTATCCTCGTGGACATCATATAACAACAAGGATGATTCATTATGTTAAATCCAAAACAAATTATACTAATCAATGCCTTTGTTGTGCTTACTCTTCATAATTTTTTTAGGATAAAAATTTTGATATTGCGAGTAAAGTGGATGATTTGTTGAGTTATTCAACAACGTTTTTTTTTTGAGCAAAGAGGTCCGAGCATTCTAAGAATGTTTTGTGTTGCATGCCTCCAAGGTTGCACACAAGTAGAAGCGGAAAATGGTAAAATGAGTATAACGGTCTTAACATGAACCATCCACACCAATTGAAAAGTTAGAAGGTTGATTATTTTAACCTTGAACACTTGGGGATCTATTTGCTCTATTTTGCATAGATTGGAGAGCACAACTATAATTTTTATTTACAAAATAAGTTACATTTCATAATTTCCATTCCTATAAGAATTATATAAATTTGTGATGGTATTTTATTTAACTAAAAGGAATATTTCAATCTAAACAAAAAATATTGAAAACAATAATAAATGAAAAATGATAGCTTAAGATCCTGTTTGAGCCTCATTTTTACCATATTAAAATGAAAAGTATGACCGTTATATATCACATCAAATCACAATTTTTGAATTTCTATCTTTTGTGTGGGGCCCATAACGGCTCTATTTTTCATTTCTATTCTGCAAATAATGTGGTTCAAATGGGCTCTAAATAAAAACTATTGCTTAATATAATATTTTAGTAAAATGAAAAATATAAAATTAGCCCTCGTTTAGTTTTGATTTTTCAAGCAAAAAAAATTTAATATTTTGATCGTTACTTGATATGGTTAGCCATCATTTTTTACTTCTTCACTCATAAATGAGACCCATTTTTTCCCTCTAACGATCAAAAAAATGATTTTAAGAATCAGTACCAATCAAGCCTTTAATAAGTGTAGCAATGAATCAGATTGCTTGTCATCTCTGATTGGCCAACTTGTGAGAGCTCAATTCATAAGTAGCACGAGCCTGAATATAATAGGTCCAAGGGCAAGCCAAGCTCGATTTTCAACTTGGCTAGCCGAGCTCGAAGTCCTGGACCTGGGGCTTAAGGGGTGGGTGTGTGGGCTCGCCCAAGAAGCCGACCCTAAAAAAAAATGTAAATACGAGGGCTAAAAAATTTCTGTAAAATTTGTCGGCTTGTTAAATCCAACCATCTGAACTGAGCTTGGGTAACTGACTGACGCCAACATACCTTACTGCTAACCCTAAATCCTCACTAAAAAATTCTGCAATTTCCTTTTGGGTTTTTCATACAATTTCTCTTTCCCTTAATTCTTAATTCATTTCTGCATATTTTTTTTTTCAATTTAACAAATTAGCTTCAATTTATTGTTAGTATTACTGTTGAAGATTGAAAACGATGTCGGATGAGGACAGAGAGGAGAGGGAGCTGGATCTCACCTCTCCTGAAGTCGTTACCAAATATAAATCCGCCGCCGAAATTGTTAACAGTTAGTCCTCTGCCCTCTTCCGCTGTCTGTGTATGCAGGTGTGGCGCTTTGTGTGTTGAAATGTGCGTGGCTTAGAATTTTGGGTATAAGCTCATAGGGCTTTGGAAAGATTGATGTTTTTGTGTTTTTGGTTCGCCGTTGAATCATGAATGTATTGGGTTCAAGTTTTTTGTTCTTTTTATAATCTGGTTTTGGATGATTTTGCAAACTTTGTGATTTTATGCAGAGGCATTGCAGTTAGTGTTGTCAGAATGCAAGCCCAAGGCTAAAATAGTTGACATTTGTGAGAAAGGGGATGCTTTTACCAGAGAGTAAGCTATTTGCTTTACATAATTTGTGATGAAATATATATTAAATACTTTATGTCAATATATAGGCATAAGTTTGATGTATATGTCATTCAGAAGTGCTCTAGAAATTATTTATGTTAAATGTGTCATATATACTTAAGTAATTGCATGATGCAATTGGTTATTCAGGCAATCAGGGAATATGTACAAGAATGCGAAGAAGAAGATCGAAAGGGGTGTGGCATTCCCCACTTGCATTTCAGTGAACAATACAGTCTGCCATTTTTCACCATTAGCCAGTGACGAGACTGTGTTGGAAGAGGGTGATATGTTGAAAATGTAAGCTTTCTTCAATCCCACGTATCGTGCTTGCGCACTCATTTGATATTGTATTTTGCTTTCGATGTATAGTAGCAAAACAGTAATAATGCAAGTGAATGACTGTTTCTGTGTAAATGCAGTGACATGGGTTGTCACATAGATGGGTTTATTGCCGTAGTAGCACACACCCATGTTCTGCAGCAAGGACCGGTGACTGGCAGAACAGCTGATGTCATTGCTGCTGCAAATACAGCTGCTGAGGTTGCTTTGAGGCTCGTGAGGCCAGGAAAAAAGGTTGTTCCTTCTGAGTTTTTCTTTATTTATTATAAGCGATCTTGTCTTGTCTCTTGCACATAAATTGTATGTTCCCGAGTTTAAGGAATTGGAAGTTTAATTTGTTCTCACACGTGTTATAAGTTTGTCTGCTTATTCTCAACTATAGTAATAGCAAATATTAACTTCAAGTTGTTTTGTCTATTTGTTTGAGTAATATGTTCACTTCTTTCCTTTTCTTTTGGGTGAATATTTGTTTAAATTTTGCCTCGTCCTTTTTTATAGTTTCTTCTGAATAGATTTGGTTATTAATGTGATGTTATATACTCCATCCTCGTTTTAACTGCATGAACATTTTGTTTTCTTTCAAATGTGTATATATTACCATTTCCTAATGTGGTTTTCCGTTCTCATAGTTGCTTGAAAATTAATTTTACAAATGAGAATTTTGTCAAATGGTTCCATAGCACAATTATACTTTTGGTCCATCTTATTTTATTTTATTTTGGAAGTCGTATAATTCGGAGGCATGAAATGTCAATTCCTGTCTGCTATTTGTGATATGAAAGTAAAGATATTTTTCTCTATCAATTCTTTGTTTTTTGGATCAAGGTGTGTTACAGGTGTATCTCATCCGGTAGCTGATCCTTCTACGCCTAAATATGAGTGTTCTGTAAAAGCTATGGATTTACATCCAGGTGAAACCATTGTCGTAGTTACTCTGATAGGGGACATCATCTGATGGCTACTAACTACTAAGTCAGTTCATAACTACTGCACAAATTGTTTAGTGTTTAAGCATTTAGTATTGTACTTAAGGTGAGCCAGGTGTAGTTGTAGAGTAGATGGTGACACATAAATGAGAATAGAAAGAGCTAAGAAGGCAACTTTTTGGAGACAATTTGTTCCTTGTTGGTCTCTTCTTTTCCCTGTTGCCTATAACAAAGTTGGCCTGCCAGAATATTCTGGCTTGGTGAAGTACTAATGGTACTGGCCAACTCAAATAAGTCACAGCATTAATTTAGTAGTTTGAAATCCTTCATAACAGTGGGTATATCAGTCTATCGATTTTCTTTAGTTGGTTAAAAGTTGAAACAAATGAGTTTTGCTGACCTGCCATCACGTGAAACTTTTTTAACCCTTATCTCATTACCTTTTTTCTGTGACTGTGAATAGGCTCAATTACAGTTATAGATGGTATGATATTTATGTGGTTTCTTTAGTGTTCCTTGTTTATTTTTTGCCTGTAAATGAGAATCCTCCTTATTCTACAGCAAAATAATAAGATTTTTTTTTTAAAATTTTTAAAAATGAAATTTCTCTTTGCCCCCTCATGTGCCCAACTTTGAAATTTAGCTAGACAGTTGATGGGCTTCTAGATGATGAATATTATTCAAAAGCTATAGGCATGGTTTAAAAAGGAAGTCGCCTCGCAAGCAATCTGCCTTGCGGAGCTACTTTCACTACATCTTTTGGGAGGCACATGCCACAATGTCAAGGCACGTGTTCCTATAATTGGGTATTGAAAGCATGGAATGTTGTCTTGCAAGTGGGCCCATCACCTAATTCTAATTTCCGCGCACTGTAAAAGAACTAGTGTTATAAGCAAGTTAACACTCTACCCAATATAGACAGAATTAAAAAATCAAAAAACTTCTGCAATTCTTCTCTCCATGCCTGCCCCAGCCACCAATTTTCAAGACAGTAAAAGCAAAAAAAAAAAAAAAAAAAACAGCAGCTTCAGTATTAAAAAAAATGGATTTTTTTTTCTGATTTTTACTTCTTTTTGCTTCTCTTTCTTTCTTTTTATTTCTTTCAGTCTTACCCTTTCGTTAATGCCTTCATCTGCTTCTTAAGTTCATATGTTTTTTTTTAGAAGAATGATATCAATAGTCAGTTGGGCCTTTTAATTTTCTTTAATAATGCGTGTGTTATGTAATTGACACCTTTTGTAGCTGAAGATTACCTTAACCTCCTCTTTAAAAAACGAGAAGATTATTTTTGTATTTTTATTTTATTTTTTGACCTAATTTTTTGGTTTGTGGTGAGGTTCGTGCCTCAAGGCTTACGTTTTGCCTCACAAAAAAATGCCTTAATACTCATTTGCGCCTTTTTAAACATTGTCTATGGGCAATGTCTTAAAAGGTTGAATCGGGTAACGAGACATTTTTCCTTTGTGGTTAAGCCTTCACAAATCAAAAATTTAAGTGTCAATTTTTAAAATAATAATAATAATAATAATAATAATAATAATTACAAAAATAAGCTTTGTAATGACCTTGAACAATCTTGACAATCTCAAGAAGAGAGAAGAATTGCAGGAGTCTTTTGCTTGAGTTGCTGTTTTTTTTGCTTTTGAAGAAGCTGTTGTTTTTTAGCTGTTGATTGTCTTGTGAATTGGGTGGCTATTGCAGGTGTTAATAGAGAATTACTGAAAAAAATTTCTCGTTTGTCTGTGTTTATTTATTATGATACTAATTCTTTAATAGGTGGTGGACATTAGAATTAGGTCAAACATTAATAAAGAGTTGGTGGACCCCTTACAAGTTACAAGAAGAGTTTATTGAATATATAATGTGATTATTAGCGCCTTGTTTGTCTGTCTCGCGTGCCTTCCAGAACCTCTCTAAAATTAGCGCCTCAAGGCAGATTGCTTGCACCCAGATTTGGGGTGCACGTCGCTAACACCTTTTAAAACCATGGCAATGGGATTACATTCCGCGTGAAGCTGTTGTCTTCCGTTAGTTTGATGGTGCAATCTTAAATGCCTGTCTTACTTTGACGAGTTTATGTGAATTTTAAATCTTTTACTCGTGAAGTGGCTTGTTTGTTTTAATTAATGTAAACTCTGAAATTTTGCTTTCATATCTAGTTTAGGTAAATATATTATAGTTTTAATTTCTCTAATGAGCATTTGCAAAGAGCTAAAAGCTGTCATTTCCTTCAGTTGTTTTAGCAACAATCTCCCTTTCGTTTGATGACACATTTCTTGTCTGTAGACTCTGTACGAATTGTTTACTTATTGTTGCAATAATGACATATTATTAGTGATCCTCCGAAGGACGGTAAGACGGCATAGGATAATCATTTATAAATCAGGTTTCCTTTCAACTGCATTATATATAGGTCAAAACATCATCTCCGTGGTCCCAACCAAGGAAAAATTACGTAAGGGGAAAAAGGGACTCTAGTAAGTAATAACTACCCTTCCAAAAATTGATCCACTTTGCGAGGTCACCAAGTCCTTGGTCTTTATTAAATTTTTTTAGTGGCACTTTTTTGAAGTTATTCACATTTTGAATCAACAATTCATCAATGGGAAAGTAGCGTTATTAAGTAAGAAAACTTGAGAACGCGTTCTTAAGTAAGAAAATTTGGGAACTAACAATATGTATTTGCAAGCAAAGTGTTAAAAGAAAATTTATCATGTTTAAATTGCTCCTCGTTGATACCATGTTGATTGTGATGTGTATATTGAATTGCTCAACCACATGTCACTTCTGCTCATTTTATTTTTACTTTTACGGCAGAACAAGGATGTCACTGATGCAATTCAAAAAGTTGCTGCTGCTTATGACTGCAAGATTGTTGAAGGGGTTCTCAGTCATCAAATGAAACGATTCGTGATAGATGGGAACAAGGTTGTATTGAGTGTCTCTAGCCCGGAGACAAGAGTTGACGAAGCTGAATTTGAGGAAAACGAGGTTTATTCTATTGATATAGTTACAAGCACTGGCGAAGGCAAGGTAATCATCTTGCTTGGATGCTTATATGAGCAATATATTCCTTTGGTATTCTGTTAGCCCTGACATTTCCTACGTACCAAACTTGCAGCCTAAGTTGTTGGATGAGAAACAGACTACCATATATAAAAGAGCAGTTGACAGGAATTACCACCTGAAGATGAAAGCATCTCGATTCATATTTAGCGAGATAAGTGAGAAATTCCGGATTATGCCATTTACTGCTAGGTTAGTTTATCCTACAATTTCATATGCGGATTTCAAATATGTGCTTTTCTACTTGTCCTCTCTTCTTTAGCTAAGATAACAATCAGGATGAATGAATAACAGGGCTTTGGAAGAGAAGCGTGCT